AGAAGCCATGCGCAGGCTAATGCATGCATAGCATAACAATTCTGGCGTGGGGGGAGCCTCCCTCTGCTGCTGCCTGCAGACTTGTCTGCAACCGTCCCACAACTTCACACCTCCAGCAGGGTCACTAAGAAGGATGCCGCGGCTAGTCAGTAGCACGCGTTCTTCTCCCGGCAATTCTAGCTGCTTTGGCGACCGAGATGGGAAGCAATTTTCAAACAGCGCGAATTTCACGTCGGTCTGACATATTCAAAGCAATATCTGAAAACTCACACTCACTTACTTACTTACTTACTTACTTACTCATAGAGCTGAGCGCTTCTGGAGGAGCCACCAATTCTGCAGCTACTCAAGAATTTCCTAACATTTTATGGAACCGGACGGTTCATTACCGTGTTCACAAGTGCCCTCCACTGGCCCCTACCCTGAGCCAGATCAGTCCAATCAATATCAACCCATTCTCTCTCTCTCTCTCTCTCTAAGATCCATTTTAATATTGTCCACCCACGTACGCCTTGATCTTACCAGTGGTCTCTTTCCTTCTGGCTTTCCCACCAATATCCTATACGCATTCCTCGTCTCCTCCATTCGTGCTAGATGCCCTGCCCACCTCATCCACCTTGACTTTATCATTCTAATTATACTTGGAGAAGAGTACAAGTTATGAAGCTCCTCATTATGCAGTTTTCTCCAGCCTCCTGTCACTTCATCCCTCGTCGGTCCAAATATTCTCAACACCCTGTTCTCGAACACCCTTACTCTATGTACCCAGTTTCACATCCATACAGAACCGAAACGTCGGTTAACACCACATATACACGGTGCCAAATCCCAGAAGACTGCTTCCTTCATTATCATAAACAATTGTAACTGCGTTCAGGTGAGGACTATGTTAAGTTACCCCTAAAGCCATAAGTCTTGCAAAACATGAGTACTGGGCGTGACGTGTTTTCATTTTCCTCTACATCTCTGTTCCAAACGGTTGGTTACATTCGTCTGCCAACTGTAGCCAACACGTCAAACGATGCTTTCCGGCTGTGTAAATTGTTTCTTAATTGATCACGAGTGTTACTTTTTATTTTGCTAAAATAAATATTAAGCAAAATGCGCGGAGTAAATCACGTACGTCTTCATGCAGTTGTCCGTTTTTTCTACTCCTGTCCGACCAAAATTGCAATAAGTCGAAGCGTTTTCTCCCCAATATCGAATGTCCTGAAAATCAATTCAGCAGAAACGCAATTATGTGCAGACAAACGAACGGACAGGCATAGTGAAGCTAACAGGTTCGCTTCTGCGCCAAAAGCATATCAGAATAACCGCTGCACCAACCGAGATACGAGTCAAAGACAGGTCAGGCGGGTTACTGCCAACTTAGCGTTCTCGATATTAATAAGGTGATTCAAAATATTCCTCCTCGACAGATCTCTGCTTCGTGCAGGTATGCCTCGCTACTGCAGCGGGCTCTGCTCTCGCAATACCATCATAAAGGCATGCCAGACAACGTTCTCCCGCTAAAATCTGCAGTCCAAAAGTCGCGGCTTCGTGGGATTTGCTGTGATGTCCCTTAGTCCTTCCGGGCAAATGCTAGGAGTGTACCTCTAACTGGCCCATGACTGCTGTCTTCCAGCCCATTTCCAAATCATCGCTTATCGTATCATTCGACGTTATGTGTACACAGTGAAAGGCTGAGTTTCACCCACACAAAGGAAATGGTAAACTCACAGTTCTGTATATCTGTTAGATGTGAGACAGAAGGCTGAGGAGCGGCCAGGTAAGGTCGGTGCCTCACATACACACTGTCATTATATGGCAGCTGAGTTAAAACGACAGGTCAGCTTCCAATTTACAGCCCCCGTCTCTGCGCGTGATGGGGATTCACTATCTAGCCCACATAAGCCTTTAAGTCAATCGTTGGATGAGTGACAAAAGGCGATATGGGGAAGATCTGCAGCGACGCGTCCGTGACATATTGGAAGCGGTAACGCTCTGAGTTTGTATTCGGGAGGTGTTCGGTTCGAACCTCGGCCGGAAAGTAGCGGTCGATGCCTAATCGAGGTACCATTCCGGCATCTGCTTGGAGGATTGGGGAAAACCGCCAAAATCATCAGTCAGAATAGCCTGTCTCCCGCCCGAGATTCGAAATGAGCTCCTCCCAAATACAAGACCAAGGCGTTACCGCTGCACCGACTGGCTCGGTATACTTATCCATAAAAATGACGATGATATCACATGTAGCGGTGTACCATACTCTTATATATTGAACAGGAACAGCAAAAATCGAGGTTATGCTTTAACACAATGGCCAAATAATGCTTGCTACCATTCAGTCCAGAACCTTTTGTCTTCTCAACTGCTGTCCAAAAAGATAACATTTTAATATACAAAACTATAATTTTGCCTGTTGTTGTGTATGGCTGTGAAACTTGGTCTCTGACATTAAGGGAGGAACACAGACTGGGGGTGTCTGAGAACAGGGTGTTGAGGAGAATATTTGGACCAAAGAGGGATGAAGTGAAAGGAGGTTGGAGAAAACTGCATAATGAGGAGCTTCATAACTCGTACTCTTCTCCAAGTATAATTAGAATGATCAAGTCAAGGAGGATGAGGTGGGCAAGGCATGTAGCACGAATGGGGGAGACGAGGAATGCGTATAAGATACTGGTGGGAAAGCCAGAAGGAAAGAGACCACTGGGAAGACCAAGGGATAGGTTGGTGGTCAATGTTAAAATGGATCTTAGAAAGATAGGATAGGATGGTATTGATTGGATTGATGTGGCTAAGAATAGGGACCAGTGGATGGCTCTTGTGAACACGGTAATATAACTTCAGGTTCCATAAAATGCTGGGAAATTCTTGAGTAGCTGCAGAAGTGGCGGCTCCTCCAGAAGGGCTCAGCTCCATGAGTAAGTAAGTAAATCCACAATGGCCAAGCTGCCTAAATACGAATCGCCTGAAAAGGCGTGGCCTGCGTGAACTGTACTTCAAGGTTCAGGCAAAACAGAAACGAATTCATCTTTTTACTTTACTCAAACTGGCTTAAATGTAAACTGTTACTTGGCCCTTCAAATAGCCTGAATGGATGAAAGCATCCNTTTTTTGGGGGGGGGGGGAGGTGTACATTCGAGAAGCAAGCTGCAAGGTTGCAGTTTGTTCCTAGAGTTTACTGTTTCTGAACGTAAACACGAACCGTACATGGAGTAACGACGGCGTTTATAGATTCTTGGCCTACGAAAAAATGCTAAATACTAAGGAAAACAGAAAGCGGTTCGCAAGCTGTATGTTCATTACCGTGTCCACAAGAGCGCGCCACAGGTCTCTATCCCAAGCCAAATGAATCTTTCAATACTCCCTTCCTATTTCTGTATTGATCCAATTAAATATGATCATTCCATCTACCTCTAGGTCTTCGTAGTGGTCTCTACCTTTTACACTGTTACCAAAACCCTGTCTGTATGCACTCCCGTCCCAACTACAATTGCTATTTCACTGAAAAAGAAGAAGGCAACAGCTACACAGACTGCAGCATGCAAATACTCGTACACCTCGCTTTTTATTTTCAGTAGCATCATGTTATCGTGTTTAATTATAAACATGACGAAATCAAGTACTGAATTTCAAGCGACTGTATACCTGACCAGTAAGCTGACCATTCCGTATGCTCCATTAAAACTTTATTTAAACAAAGTAGTTCTAGCAAACGGCATTATAACTGATAAAGGTTAGCAATACAAGAACACTCCACTGTCGCTGTATTGCCAGGGAAAGCAGGAAGGGAACTTAAATTAGCCCTACAACAATGTATTTCGTCTCAGCTTGGTGCTCAAATTTGCTGCCAGGCTAGCAGTACAAAAGGAAAACCGGTACACACAAACACCACTTCAGGCTGATGATAGCTTCGAATTCCTCGGGCATGCGTATAAATTCGAGGTTATGGAGGAGGAAACAACAGAATGTAATAAAAAATTATACCAGATTTCGTATGGTAGCGTAGTTCGTTGAGGGGCTATGCTACAAGCTGGAAGGTCCCCGGTTCAAGTCCCGATGAGGTCATTGGATTTTCTTCAATTGACCTAATCCTTCCAGCCGCACTATGGCCCTGGGGTCGACTCAGCCTCTAGCAGATGTGAGTACCAGGAATTAATTAAATAATTTTCCTTGGGAGTAAAGCAGCGCGGCCGGCTCGTAAGGCTAACAACCTTACCGCCATCTTTGAGCCGACTGTCTAGATAATGTGGGACCCTCAACGTCTCATAACCCTATGGGCCTTCACGGCCTGGTACAAGAATAGCTTTACTTTTACTTTACCAGATTTCGTATGAAATCGTATTAATGAAAATCAAGCGACATGCGGTCCATAATTTAACAACCCTGCGCGCTGTCATAATCCTACATAACAGATACAGTTAACGTAATATTAGTGCTATATTGCAGTTCCATGTCACCCCCCCACGTAAGGAATGCACATTAAGCTCTAAACAACCATAATGTTCAAGAAGCAAATACTGACACTGTAAGGAATAATATTACACTCTTGCAATTATTTACAGCCGGCAACAACCTACATCTATTGCTGCTGTAATGAATTAGCCGACCCTTCAAACATGTGTAGAACATCTCCAGGACATATCGATTGCATGGCCATGACTGCAGTCGCCAGACCCAAGAAACAATTGTAACCCTCTCTTCCGCGTCGGTGCTTAATCAAACTATTTATTTACTGGTGTAGATGCTCCTTACCGTTTAGTGATTAACAGTGTAGTGATGCACTCTTCAAAACTACAGTATGATACTAATATTAACAACTAACACACATCACACCTTGCAAGCGGCTTTCCGAATCCGAACTCTAAACACAAGATGGCTGACGTCAAGATAGAAGGAAAGATACTCCACTCGTTCAGTTTGTAAGTACACATATTCTCGCACGGTTCCCACAGCCACACAACTATGTACACAATTTGCATGCCTCTTTTGAAGCGCCAAATTTACATCTAATTCTGTACCTCTAATTTCCTAAAACAGTGACTGGACCTGAAGATATCTAGTACCACAGATAGTCGGTCTCCTGGCCGGTATTTGAACCAGGGACCTCCCACATGCGAAGCCGGGGTGATCCCCATTCTACCATGACGCTGGATCCCATCAGCAGTTGTTAGGATTCAAACCAGTGCATCTATGATTCATTCTGCAATACACAACAAATTGACATTGCTTTACTATTGAACTATACCGAAATGTACGGAGCTGCAACATAAAATACGCGTATTTGCTTTCAGTTCACACTAGTTCATAGAGAAACTTCCTCCTTAGAGAGTTACGTACGCTACTGTCAAGGAGAGCGGATACCTCACTCGGTATAGCGACGGATCGGATTGGATTCCGGGCAGGGGAAATATTTTTCTCTTCTCCACAGCGCCCAGACCCGCTCTGGGGCCCTTCCAGCTTCCTATCAGTGGGTACCGGGGGCACTTTCCCCAGGGGTAAAGCGGCTGGGGCATGAAGCTGAACGCCCTCTATCTAGTGAACAGGTCAGGATGGTGGAGCTACACCTCCACTCCCCCATATATCATCATGGCAGAATGCCTAATTAGTGCACAGGAACAGCTTTACCATTTTACCTTAGTGTCAACGGCGTTATATTTCTCTTGGTTCTTATCCCCCCCTTCTTTTATCCAGTACGAACAATTGTTTGGTGTTTTAATTTGTTCATCTCTAACCACGAAGACGTGCAAATGGCATGACATGTTACTGTTCGAAAATACGAACTGGCGAACTGGACCAAGCCGCTCTTCACTGAGCTGCAACAAGAATCACGGCCGTAGCTTCGGCCCTTTACGTTTAGCCTTTTATAGATGTAGACCAGATATCGACTGAATAACAGATACGCTGCCAAAACTACATTAGTTTTTCATTGCCGAGTATAATGCACTAGTCTTCTATTCAAGAGGTATTCGCTTCGTTCCTCGCTGAATATAATTCCTAAGATTTCCTTCAGTCTCTCCAGGCGAATGTCGGCATAGTACCTTCAAATATGTCATGGTCATCTCCTTCCAAATCCCTAATTACTCAGCTGTTCATGAAATGCCTACTACAGTTTTCACGCAACCTGTTATTCATAACATCTCCATGTGTTCTGCAGCCGCTGTAACGGCTGTCTAAGGTTAACTGTGGAGGTCACAACAGATAATTAGTGAAAGAAACCCCGTTTCATTTGCTACACAATTATTTTACTGCTTTGCTTCCTAAACGTAGCTTCTATGCTTTGGTTATCCCTGTCTGAGTGCTTTAAGCTCGAGCTGGTGGATGTCTCCTAATTTAGATATTTTCTCGTATCTCTTTATGCTTTCTGAATATATGATTCACGACTTTGTGAATAGCTGACTTGAAAGAAGGAACTTCAGTCCTTCAATCAGCACTTAAACTGTCTGTTCGCAGTTTAGTGGTCCCTGACTCCGTGTATCTGGAAGCGTGAAACTAAAGATACAATTAATTCTGCGTCCCTTCATAAAGCCTGTGGATGAAAATAAACAGTTGTTTTGTTGTCTGGAGTGAATTAAAATTCTGTGAACTACAGGTATGAGGCTCAAGAGTAAGGACATAGAATTCAATGACACCGTCATACAATTGTTAACACTTAACACGCACCACACATGGAAGCGCTGTGCCGCGCGTAACATCAGTTGTCGAAACGCGAAAAACGACAATGAATAAATGCAATTGATCACAGCATCGTGCAGTATTGTATCTGACCTTCACCATTCGAACAGCCATGGAACAGACTGTACACAACAAACAGGCACCTGTTTACTTCATTGCCGCGAGATTTCAGGTCTTCTTGGCGGTCAAGGTAAAGTTTCGTGCGGTTTGCGTACTCTGGTCGGATCTGGGGGAAGCAGATTCCCCCGAAACGTCGGTAACCTACCAGACTACCCAGAAAGCTGCATCTTAATCTGACTTACGCATTCCTACTCAGGATGAGCTGAAGGAGAGGATTCCTCAGCCTTGCTTTAGTCACACAAGTACAGGACTCGCATACAGCATCCTTTCTAAGCCTCTCTTTTGTGGGTTCAGAAATTCGATTTGTATTTAACGAACTTAGAAACAACATAGTTTGTTTGTATAGATTGTGGTATATTATTATTATTATTATCATCATCATCATAGTGATGACATATGGACTAAAAGGCCAGGGTTCGATTCGCAGCAGAAGCAACAGCGTCCAGACTGGCTCTGGGGCCCGCCCAGCCTCCTATACAATAGGTATCGGGGGCTCTTTCCCCGGCGGTAAAAAGGCCGGCGCGTGAAGCTGACTACTCAGTTCATCTAGTGCAGAGGTCATGATGGAGCTATACTTCCACTTCCCCATACGCCTTCATGGCGGGTGCTTAATAAATTAGGCACAGGGACAACTTTTACCTTTTATCTTATCATCATCATCATCATCTTCATCATCATCGGCACAATTGTTTTCATGTCTGTGGAACATTCTTGCTATAAGTTGTTGCCCCATCCGGAAATATAAATAATAAAAACAGTGATAAGCGTACAAAAATAAGGTCCCTGGACACAACTGCATTCATTTACTCGGTCTGCTTCTTCAACGCTTCGCAGAACGCGTCGAACTTACGGCTGTGTAGACTGTGCGAATGTGAGGGTTATCTTCCTCCTTGTTAAGATCTTTGAAAGGCCACTCGTCCATTCGAAAGCCGTGAAACTTTTAATGTAAAAAGAGACCATGTCCTAACCACACCTACCTAGTCGCAGGAGTTGGGAGGGTGGAAATTTCCAAATGAAACGACGCATGGCAAATGTTAAACATGAATCAACAGGGTGCGCAAAGCTAATTTCACAACTGTTTCCCAAAACTCCTCCTTTTCCTTGTAAGTGGATGAAGTTTCCAATAAGATTTCTGTACTGCCAAACTCTTACTCTGTTCCTGTATCACGGTCAGCGTCTGAAACAACGGAGGGACAAAATTAGTGCCACCTACGAAATTATTTGCGAGGTCCCCTGTTCGATCCTGGGCCCAACCTGTCCAGGCATAGTTCGGGATAGCATTTTAAAATACTTCACGATCATCTCCTCCCACCTGAGAATCGTCCAGTCATTTTTCATGCGGAATTATGAATCCACGTAGTTGAAACACACAGATGCGCTGTGGGAAAGTGGTGATCCCCTGAGTGCTTAATCGGGCAGCACATGCGGCACCCGCGTACTTACAGTGGTTCAGCAATCTATTTCATACGTTAGGCAGAACAGAAGACTTCACGGGATTTCGTGTACTCACTGAAGATGAAACTCCTATCAACAAAATAGCTCTTGATTCTAGATGTCGCACCAATCCGCCATGATCCAGAGTCGTAGGCCTGTTTTTAGCCTGACTGGGCTAGATCCACTTGGGAGGATATCACTGGATTCATTCGAATTACGTTATTAAGCTAGGAAAGTTATTCAGATGATGAACCAGAAATTTTACTGTCATCATCACAGGACTTTAAGTCCAGTGCAACCGCTCTTACACCCTTTAGTTTCTGATGTTGTTTGGGTTCCGGTGGCAATGAAAGTCTTCCTCAGGATCGTTTACGGGTCTTGGATTATGAGACAAAGGGTAATGATATTACGACTGCACACATTACAATTGCTTACTGGTTTAATATATTATTTGCAGAACACGCCTATCCGTCGGAATCACCAAATTAGAAGTCCCCCTTGAAGCTCGGACTATATCCTTGAGTTTGGGGACATTAATTCTCCCACCCTCGCAGATATATGTCTTCATTGCTTCTCATTCGATCATTCAAACGGAAGGCGGGTGTTACAACTTTGAATCCTCCAATACCCTCTTACAATTTTATCTTCGAAGCCGCTGGTCCAGCGATATTCCCAACGATTCCTGAGACCTCGCTGGACTGCAGCTGCGAAGTGTAATATTTCAAACGATGAGCGGCATCCTTTGCTCATATATATATATTTATATTGGCTTCACGTAACAACTGACACTACGGCACCACTATTCCGTGCCGCAGGGATATGAGTGTCAGTTGTTTATACTCCGCTTACACCAAGTCTTACTCTTAACATTCCAATTTAATCACTAGCTTAAATTGGACGACTTCACCAGTTAGTCTACATCCTGATATCCTGTGATATCAAGGTGCCTCTCTCTCCACGAAGTTTTACGGCCAAAATGATATAAAATGATTATGACCAGGGCCCGGATTTTCATGACATGTCATCTTTTTCCCCTTGTATCCTATGCAATGCTCTTAAATATATAAATCTCGGATATGAGCTGCTGGTTACAGAAATGTAAATTTTATAGGTAATTTTTGTCATTTTTGACACTTTTAGGTTTAAGGTCATTTTTTCATTTTGGGGGTAATTTTTTGGTAAATTTTTGGACTTTTAAGGGTTTTTTTTGTCATTTTTGGCCATTTTATGGAATCTTTCTTCATGTGTTTTCTGAAATGTGAATACCGTGGAAGCGAAGTGTTCTTTGTCTTTCTCCTTTGGGTCATTTTTCTAGATTTTTTCGGTCATTTTATAGGTCATTTTTTGAATATTTTCAGGTCATCAAAATCCGGGCCCTGATTATTACACATACCAAGTTAGCCATGAGTTTTAAACCAGAAAGTCTGTCCATATGGCATTTACTATCAATGTTGGAGTCGTTTATATTATCATAATAATATTACAGCCTTCTGAAGTGTGACGAATGACAGCTGTCAACGTTTCGAAAGAACCTGCTGTCTTCATCTTCAGGACAAAGAAGTGATATGAAACAGTTTTATCAGTTCTGAGAGCTTCCAAGTTGCGAAATAATCTTATATGCAGACATTGTTTTACATATAAAATATTTCATGCTATGCTGCCACAGCATACGTTTTTAATTTTTCAAAATAGTCTCGCAAAATTTTTGCTTGGCACTCGCACGCACACCTGTTGCGGGCAATTGTTCAGTGACGTCAAAGCCGGAACACTTCCGCAAAGGAACTGTGTTACACACGATTATGCTATGAAAATAATATGTAACAAGTGTTTGCGTACTGTGATGAGTGAACAATAGAAAGGCAAAAGTTGCATGTATTAGGAAAGATCTGCTGTAGCTTTAGTATGTAAACATGAAGCCAGCGTTTCATTGCATGGTCTGACATGCTAGGAGGCACGGCCCCGCCGTTGGTACAA